ATTAAATAGATATTTGTAATCCAAATAGTTCAAAAAAGATTTTTTTTCTGAAATTTATAATTCTCTCTTTCTCTACAGCCCAGATTATTGTCTTTTTCTGTCACAGCCGTTCTTTGTTGTTAAAACTTTGAAGGTAACAAACACAGATTAACTTTTCCCAGGTTTTGCCAAGTCTTATATTAAAGTCATAGCTGTCATAGTCTTTATCCATCACTAGGTGTCAGCAACTATTTGTTTTTCACTTCCATATATTTTGATCCTCCATAAAAAGATTAATTTGCCGCTTCCGATAGTATACGGGTGGGGCAGAAATCCCCCTCCTTCCCTTTCGGAGGTATTTTGCTTCTTGGGGAACTTTTCCAGGAAATTAAATGTAGAATAGAGAAGAGAAGATCGAATTCCTCACCCAGTTTCAAACATGCTGTTCACAGTTGTGCTGGTTAGTGTTTTTTGACTTTGGTTGCTAGTAGTTTGGGCTGGTCGATGCAATAGGGCCAGCCTTTCTCCTGTTGGGTTAGAAGGCTTTCCCCAAGTCGAACGGAACAGCCGCCGCCATTCCAGAATTGCTGGAGCACCCTTCTTTCTTTGTCGCCTCTCCAGGATGACTTAGACTCATTTAGGGTCCCCAGACAGGGCAAAATTAGCCGTGGGGGTGCAAAGAATCCGCAACCCCACAACCAGTCACTACCGCGCAAAACCAGGAGTCCAATTCAGTAATGTTTACTTCTTCTAACATATGTGCTTCATGAAGAGATCTCATTCAATGTGCAACACCCAAGGTCATCTCACCAGTGCCATTGGAACTGAAAAAGGTGTCAATCAATGCTGTATATTAGCCTCACTCTTGTTCAATTTCTGTATCAACCTCATAGTGGATTATCCCCTCAGCATAAACTTTCATTCCCAAAAACTTGCTAGAAGACACATCTCTGTTTTATTCAATGCAGCAATACTTTCAAGAAACCTATTGGCCTTAAAAAGCACCGAGATCACTAACATCATATTGCAAGGAAGACCAGCTAGAACCCAATTATCAGAAAACCAAAATCATGTCATTTACCAAAAGGCCCAAGACCACTATTAGCAGATGCAGGTCTCCTGTTTCAAACATCTGGGAATAGTCCTTCATTCTACCAATAGCAGGAAACCCCATGGGGACTATGTTGCTGAAAATGCAGGAGCTCATCCACCATTCTTAAATTACTTAAGACAAGAAGTGGCCATTATATATCTGCAGCACTCAAATTATTTGAAGCTAAGCCAATAATTTAACTTCTTTAGGGTATCCAGCTGGGCCGTTTCTCCAATTTTGCACCATTAGAATTTATTTAATCCAAATTTCTAAGGTCAGCCCTTCAGATTCCACAATTTAATGCCACCCTGAGACTAGAGACAGACCTTTTTTAAAATAATATTTTATTGGTTTTCCAGTTTTGTATTTGAGTATTTGGAAGGCAACGTGGTGATTGGGTTAATCAAAAGTTCAATAACAAAATCTTTAGTACATATCTCAGGTTACATCATCAAATGTTTCTTCTCTGTTTCCCTTAACATTTGCTATATCATGTTTAAGCTAGTAAATTTCTAATTGTATCAAACTCAGTGAAAACTTTATTATCACATTTATCAATACATTTTTGCTTATACTTATCTTAATAGATCTTCATAAACACTCTATATCCTGTTATTAAGTTTTAACTAATTTTTAGTTTTTAATTACAGTACTCCAATTTAACTTTTAATATCCATAGTATTTGACTTTTGGGTAACCCAAATTTCCTTTGTCTCACTTCATAAAAATTATAATGTCTAAAATGCACATGTTACTTAGTTAAATATATTCTTATTCTATTTCGTAAACGTTTTCTATTTCTCACCCTAGTACATCACCACCTTAATAATAGAGTATCCTTTGTTATCTCAAGTCCATCCTCTATATTATCTGGGCTAATCAATAGTTCAAACCTATTTCCTAATAGTTAGTTTTCATTTCCCTTGTAAGTCTAAGTCCTCAGTATTAAACAGATTAATCCCTTATTTTTTATTATTTTCCAACTATTTTAAATCTAATAATCAAATTTCCCCTTGTCTCAAAATCTCCTTTTAGCCCACTTGTTAACAATTTAAGATCCTCTCTAGTAAATAAAAAAAACCCGTTTTTCAACCTAATTCTAGCTTTCTTCTTTTGCCAACCAGGCTTCCATACCAATGCTTTTAAATCATCAAATAGATCTCCCTACATTCTTGTGTATGTTACTTGAATTAAAGAAGACCATCTAGTTGCCAATTTTCTAGAAGAACTGGCCCATTTATTTGTCGCCCTGGTAGCCCAGATCCCCATATTTGCTCTGGTATAGTTGTCTTCAATTCGATCTGGTCTTCTTCTTTCTCAGATTTCTTCTGGTTTGTATAGAAAGACATTTCAATTCTTAAAGTTGTTGTTTCATTGTCTGGATTTTCAGTGAACTGTACTTGTTGATCTTTAAAGCCCTCTGTCTTGGTATTCACTTCTTCCACTTCTGTTGTTTTTTGGATTGTTGGTTCTTTAATTGCAATCAAGGTTTTGCTTTGTACATCTGGACTGGCACTTTGGTCTTTCAAATTAGATCTCATTGTCTCACTGGCTGTAAGAATAATTTCAAGTATAGATTTTAGCATAGCCAAGATTTTTTGCTGATCCTCCTCCATTTCTGGCGTAGTTGTACATGGTCTTTCTAGTGAAGGCTGTTTATTAAACAAGAGTCAGTAAATGTTCACCTCCACAGTTCCTAGAGACCAATTTCACTGCCCAGCTGCTCTTTCAGCATTAAATCTCTCATAGATAATACCAAGGTCAGGTCTGGGCTGTGAGCAAGTCTCTTTGTCAGAAATAATAAATTGTTGTACCAAGCTTTGCCACAAAATGTCCCCGATAGCATTTAAAGTCTTTTTCAGATCCCGGGCTAGGTTCTTATCCAATTTAAATTCTTTTTTGCAAATAGAATAAAATAGCAGATCACAGTAGAGTAGGAACTTTTTGGTTCCCCAAATTCCAAAAAGATGTAAATCCAATTATATTAAGTTGTTCTTTTCAATGCTTTGTTTCCCCTGGATAATCAGACGCCACCATTTTAGAGGGTGGAGGGAAAAAGTTTCCTTCCCTCTCTCCTCACAGGGGGAAGAAATTTCAAGAAGCTTTTTATAGGAAAGTACTTGGGGTACAGAGAAGGTAAGATCTCACCCAATTCCTCCGCTTTGCTTTCAAAGTACTAGTTGTAAATTTAGCCTTGGCTGTCAGCAGCTTAGTGATGGGGTCATTTTGCTGGCCGATCTTTTCCTCATCAGTTTGAAGAGCTGCCCCAGATCAAACGGGAGGGCTGCTGCCCTTCCGCGATCACTCAGGGGTCCTCTTCTCACTCGTTGCCCCTACAGGACGACTTCCGACCTCTTCAGGGTCCCCGACGGGAGAAAACTGGACGGTGGAGAGAGTGATCGCCCCACCCGTCCGCCAATGCCGCGATCGCCTAGAGACAGACCTTATTAAAGTGGAGGCTAAAATGTGGGTAACTATTATTCAACTATTGTCTCAGACATTCCCTTTCTCTCCTTGGCCTTGTCCCACTAACCATGAGAGAAATTATTTTCAGACTGCATGGAAAATTGCAGTAAATTGCAATAGCAATTAAAATATAATCCTTGGGCTTCTCTCCAGATCTTCTAATCAGCAAAGGATATGATGGGCCAAAACACCCATTAAACAATGTGTTGCAGACACAGAGTGACAATTAGATCTAGCCAGGCCTCTAAATGTTATTGCTAGTGACTCCAACAGACATGTTGCCTCTCCTATGACATAACTAAGTAATTTTAAAGTACCTAATCATCTGCCTTTATTCTAGCATGATGTCATGCCCCTCCCGTCAAGCTGTCCTTCAAGGTCAGTACAGGAGAAACAATGCCCTTGTGGCTCTGGATAGAGTATATACTTTTTTGGGGCCTCTATTACACATACATTTGCACAGGGCCTCATCTTATTGCATAAATACCCAGGGCTCACAGGACAATTCTATATTTCCCTGCTGCTTTCAGATATTAATGCTGCTATAACATTTCATTTATTCATTCATTCATTCATTCAATTTCTACAACTTCCCATCTCAGACAATGACTCTGGGTGGCTTACAATTCAAAAAATATATATTATAATTAAAGATACTAAAAACATATTAAAACAATAAAAACACCAAAAACATCCAGATTAAATACCCATATGAGCAAGATTTTATAACGCCAGGTTCAGCACAGTAATGCTGAAAATCCTTTAAATGATGATCAGTGACATAATGAGACGCTCTTAATGAGCATCTAGGTCATTATTATAGAGTACTGTGATAGAATTCTGTGATAGATTTAGTCTGCCCACCTCTTGCATTTATGTTCCCTACACCCATCAAATGCTCCTACCCCTCCCTTTAGATTCCTTTTCCTGTTTTATATACCCAGCTGGTTTCAACATCAAATCAAATAAAGATTTGATTTGAATGGTTTGATCAAGTCAACTCCTCTGCTTGCCTTCTTCTCACCCTGACTTTTTATGGAGAAACAGAGCAGAAATACAATATGTATCTTTCTGCAGTGCTCAGAAGTGCAGAACTTTGCACCAAGCCTTGGGTCAGTCCCAACTTACCTTAAGTCATTTCACAGAATAAATTGATTCATGGTGGCATAGAATCTGAATGAAGCATACTGCTAGGATGTGGGAAAAATAGTTGCATGCATTTCATTTCTATAATTAAAAAGAGACGTCCTCTTTTACTGACCTCACTAACAATTTCAGATGCTCTCTTTGCTCTTTGGATGTCAGGGGTTTCTGAAATAAGTTTCACTCCTTTTCCCTTTATTTCCTGTTCCAGATCTTTTCTGTATTCTTTCTGTTATTTAAACAAAAGATACAAGCATATTCAAATACTGTAACACAAATTTTCCACTTACTACAAAATTAAGAATTTATTTCACTTGGATACTTTGTGTGGGCAAACGTTCCATGGCATTTACTAAGCTTTGCAAACAGTACCTACCTCATTTAGTATCTGAGTTGCATTTTTCACTCTGATCAAATCTGGAGTATCTTCAAGTACTGCCAGTCCTTTTCCTTTTATCCCTTCTTCCAAATCTTTTCTATACTCTTTCTGAAGTAATAAAAAAAGTCAGCTTTAAATAGTGAGCAAGATCTTTAAAAGAAAAAAATAGTTTATAGTAAATATTTTAGGGCATAGCTGAAATGTTCTATAAAATGTGTGTTAGGGAGTGTATATTTATCATAGTTAAAACAGAACTGAGAAATCAAAAAAACACTAATACTATAAGATAATCTTTATCTTGTTCCTGAAAAAAGAAAAAAAAATTACTTATACACCAGTGGTACCGTTACATGGTTATTTTATAAAATCGTAAGAGCTTCTATTCTGGATGGCTTTCAGGATTACAGACAAGTAAATGACCCTGTCACTCAAATTCTGTTAATGCTATCATTATTCACAAAGGATCACTAAATGCAACACAAAAGGCACTTATCCATAAATCAGAGTTACGTAGCACAATGAGCTCTTGTGATTGAAATGAGCACATAGATGGATATTATACTAAATTTGGCAGAAAAGGCAGGCCTTAATTATTTCAGTCTTGTCACACTTTATCCAGAAGAGGAAATAGACAACTTATACTTTTCTCTCTAATTGTCAAACCAAGTGGTACCATTTCAGTTTTATCATTGGGCATCTTCAAATTCTAAACAGAAACTCCATTCAGTCAATCACATAAATCGCAGTTAATGGAATTTTATTATGATAAAGAGGTATAGATAAATTGAATAAAGAATCATAACCCTATAAAAGCTGCTAACACAATGGAAATTGGAGTATATTTATATATTTAAATCTAGATAAACAATAACATTTGACAAGTTGCCATAAACATTTGTTTCCATACTATTAGTTTGTAAATTCAAACTAATGTATACCATACACAAATTGTGATGTGAGGAAATATCTGAACTGATATTTAATATGTGACAAAAACTGCAACTATCATTTTTATATAATGATTCAGCAACCTCATTTTTCAATTATCTGCTATGTATCGCTACAACAAAAGAAAAAAACTGAGAGGAAAAGGAAGAGAAACATGATAGAATTTAAACAATATTATGATATAAAAAGACTATTTATCTTCTATTTGTAAATGTTACCTCTTTTAGTAGATCTGTTACATGTTTCACATGCAAGAATTCTAGAGTCTTGTCTAAGTCCAAGGCTGCTTTCCCTCTGACTTTTTCTTCAAATTCTTTTCTATACATTTTCTGTGTCCAAAACATTGTTGATTATCAAATATATATATTTGATATTATTGCATCAATACCCAGGGCTCACAGGACAATTCTATATTTCCCTGATGCTTTCAGATATTAATGCTGCTATAACATTTCATTCATTCATTCATTCATTCATTCATTCAATCAATTTCTACAACTGCCCATCTCAGTCAATGACTCTGAGTGGCTTACAATTCAAAAATATATATTATAATTAAAGATACTAAAAACATATTAAAACAATAAAAACACCAAAAACATTCAGATTAAATATCCATATGAGCAAGATTTTATAACGCCAGTTCAGCAGGTTTACGTACATATGCATTCCTAATTTAGAGCCAGAACATTTTATAGAATTATCTCAAACATACTTTACAAAGTATAATTTAAACATTTGCAAAATATCAAAGTGTGGCTCTAAAATAATTACTGTAATGTGGGGAAGCACAACAAGATCCAAAGTATTGCTTTACTCATTCCACATGTCTAAGAATGCTTTGAATTTCTGTTTCCTGAAAGTATCTCACAGTATTGCAAAAATGTGAAGATATTTGAAAAAAAGTAGTTTATACTACATCAAGCTGATTTGCTGCTCAACAAGTCCAATCTTCTACTGAGTAAACCTAAACCAAGGACTGGATTCAAATATTGGACTGTTATCAGTTGCTCTGTTTCACAATAAATCACACAGATATACAAACCTCTCATTTAGATGCTGCTTCAGCACAACACTTTGGTTACTACACTATACAGGTAGTCCTTCACTTACAACCATTCATTTAGTGACCACTCAAAGTTACAATGGCACTGAAAAAAATTACTTATAACAGTTATTCACATTTATGACCACTGCAGCATCCGCATGGTAATGTGATCAAAATTTAGACACTTGGCAACTGATTCATATTTATGACAGTTGCAGTGTCCCAGGGTCATGTGATCACCTTTTGCAACCTTCTGACAAGCAAAGTGAATGGGGAAGCCAGATTCACGTAATAACTGTGTTACTAACTTAACAACTGCAGTGATTCACTTAACCGTTATGGCAAGAAAGACCGTTAAATGTGGAAAAACTCGCAACAAATGTCTCACTTAGCAACAGAAATTTTGGGTTCAATTGTGGTTGTAAGTCGAGGACTACCTATAATAATAACTTCTAAAAAGATTTCACTTACCTCACTTTGAAACTTTTGAGCTTCCTTTGAAACTTGGTATGTTGGTGTGTCCATAAATTCTAGCATAGACTTGCCTTTTGATTTTTCATATCTCTCCTTATACTTAACCTAATAAAAACATCAGACATCAAAATCAAATTAAAAATCAATAGCACCTTATTTCATCTATAAACCGATTAGGATCAAAGCTTCCACATGAAAAGTAATTCTCTTTTTATCTCTAGGAAAGTGAATCATTTACATGTATATTTCCTTTCTTTTCTTTTCTTTTGTATAGATTTTATTAGTTTTTATAGGGTTAGGAATAAAGTGGGGTCGGGGTCGGGGTTGGGATTTGGGTTACGGTTAGGATTAGGATTGGGGTTGAGGTTTTTCCAAATAACATTCTCAATATTTAGCAAACAACATAATGTCTGGGTTCATGTGTTTAACAAACAAAATTATAGATAATAATTAATTATCATAAACAATATGTTAATTAATCACTTAATAGCCTTCTTCTTGCTAATATATATTCAAAATTACATATCACATTCCTTTCTCTCTAACTCGTTTTTCTAGCCATTGATAGAAATTATCCCATGTTCTAAAGTACACTGAGTCTTCTTTCTCTTTTATCTTTAAAGTCAGTCTATCCATTTCTGCACACTCTAGAATTTTCTTAATTAGTACTTCTTCAGCTGGTAAATTTTCATTTTTCCAATGTTGGGCAAATACAATTCTTGCTGCAGTTAGTATGTGTAGTATTAAATAACTGTAATCTTTCTCATAATTAGCTCCTATTATTCCTAACAAAAATAATTCTGGTTTAAAGTCTATTTGTTTTTTAGTCATTTTCTCCAACCATAAATGTATTTTAACCCAAAATCTTTTTGCTTTAGGGCATGTCCACCAGATATGATAATAAGTACCTGGTCTTTGTTTGCATTTCCAACAGTTGTTTGAAGTATTTTAAACATTTTTGCTAATCTCACTGGTGTCATATGCCATATGTAAAACATTTTATATAAGTTTTCTTTATATGCCACTGCTTTAGTTAATTTAATATTTCTTTCCCATAACTTTTGCCAATCTTCTAATTCTACGCAGATGACACCCAGCTGTACATCTCCACCCCGGACCACCCCAACGATGCCGCGGAAGTGATGTCCCGGTGCCTGGAGGCCGTGCGAGTCTGGATGGGGAGGAACAGGCTTCGACTCAACCCGTCCAAGACCAAGTGGCTGTGGTTTCCGGCGTCACGATATAGCCAGTTGGTTCCATCTCTGGCTATCGGGGGCAAGTCATTAGCTCCCGCGGAGAGGGCCTGCAACCTGGGCGTCCTCCTGGATGCTCGGCTGTCCTTAGACGATCATGTGACGGCCGTGGCCAGGGGGGCTTTTCATCAGGCTCACCTGATACGCCGGTTGCGCCCCTTTCTGGATCGGGACGCCCTACACACAGTCACTCAAGCCCTCGTTGTTTCCCGCCTGGACTATTGCAACGCTCTCTACATGGGGCTCCCCTTGAGGTGCACCTGGAGGCTCCAGCTAGTTCAGAATGCGGCCGCGCGGGGGATTTTGGGGGCCTCTAGATACTCCCATGTAACACCTCTCCTGCGCGAGCTGCACTGACTGCCGGTGGCCTTCCGGGTGCGCTTCAAGGTGTTAGTAACAACTTTTAAAGCGCTCCATGGCAATGGACCTAGGTATTTGCAAGACCGCCTCCTACCAAATATCTCCCTTCAACCAGTCCGCTCCCACAGAGAGGGCCTCCTTAGGGTGCTGTCGGCCAGTCAATGCCGGCTGGCGACCCCCAGGGGGAGAGCCTTCTCTGTGGCAGCTCCTGCCCTCTGGAATGACCTACCCCCA